AGAATCCTAGGGGTTGGAAGGGATCTCGAAAGATCATCTAGTCCAACCCCCCCCTGCCAGAGCAGGGTCACCTAGAGTACATCACACAGGAACTCATCCAGGTGGGTTTTGAATGTCTCCAGTGAGGGAGACTCCACAACCTCCCTGGGCAGCCTGTTCCAGGGCTCTGTCACTGTCACAGTAAAAAAATTTTTCCAGATATTCACCTTGAACCTCCTATGCTCCAATTTACACACATTACCCCTTGTCCTATCACTGGTAATCACTGAGAAAAGCCTAACTCCATCCCCCTGACACTCACCCCTTACATATTTGTAAACATTGATGAGGTCACCCCTCAATCTCCTTTTCTCCAAGCTAAAGAGACCCAGCTCCCTCAGCCTTTCCTCATAAGGGAGATGTTCCACTCCCTTAATCATCTTTGTAGCTCTGTGCTGGACTCTTTCGAGCAGTTCCCTGTCCTTCTTGAACTGAGGGGCCCAGAACTGGACACAATATTCCAGATGTGGCCTCACCAAGGCAGAATAGAGGGGGAGGAGAACCTCTCTTGACCTACTAACCACACCCTTTCTAATGCACCCCAGGATGCCATTGGCCTTCTTGGCCACAAGGGCACATTGCTGGCTCATGGTCATCCTCCTGTCTACCAGGACCCCCAGGTCTCTTTCACCTACACTACTCTCCAGCAGTTCAGCCCCCAACCTGTACTGGGACATGGTGTTGTTCTTCCCCAAATGCAAAACTCTACACTTCCCCTTGTTGAATTTCATCATGTTTCTCCCCGAGTTTCTGTAGACTCTGGGTTAAGTAAGGTCATAACACTGGAACCAAGCAATAAAAGAAAGAGAAACCAATCTGTGCCCTCAGTCTCACCTGCCATGGAATCCTGTTCTGCTGCTTTGGGATGAGAAATAAGTAATTGTATTAGCATCTGCATAACATGAATATGTTTTTGTTTTTCCTTGTCACTCAGAAAAGCTCTGTTTTTACTAGACAATTTGGGGCAGGGAGTGTCAGAGCAGAGATGCAACAGTGAGCTGGACTAATCAGACACCAAACTGGGCTGCAGTATTCCCTGCTTTTCAGCTGCATCCTGTTGCTGTTTTACTTTGAGAATGAACAAATTAGGGAGATTTTTTTTTCCCTGGGGGAGACCTGTACCTTTCTCCTGGTGATGCTGCTCTGCACTGGAGTGTTGTTGATGTGTGTGTTTCCCTGATTCTGATCCTGTATTACCTGATGAAATACAGTATTATTTTTCTCCAAAGCAAAGTAAACATGATTTAACTAGAAATAAGTCAATTAGAAATCCATTGTCTCATAAAAAAATCCCCACGATGGATGCAGACAAAATGTCATCAGTCCCAGACCAGTGACCTGGTCATATTTTTGTTCAGTTTGTGACTGTGACAGAGGCTCTCAAAACCACAGGGGAACTGACTAAGAATGAATATTTATTCCAAGCAACACTGTTTAGCCCTCTGATAAATCAAAAATAATAGCAGAGATTCAGGTGTTGTTGGGAAGATTAATACACTGCACCACAACTACGTAAGAATTCCTAAGCTTTTTTTTATGAGGTCACCCCATCCTGAGAAGTTTCCCCATGTGGAATCCCAACCTAAGGGGTCAGCTCCCTGGCAGACCTGCTACTCCAAGGGAAAACCCAGCCAACTTCCTGGTGGGGAACTCTTTATAGGCTAGGTCAGGTCTGACCTGTGGTCATTCATTCCTTATTCTACCGGGGTCAAGACACCGCATTGGCTGGGGACCCTGTCATAGAATCATAGAATCAGAGGGGCTGGAAGGGACCTCTGAAGACCATCGAGTCCAACCCCCCTGCTGCAGCAGGAACACCCAGGGCAGATCACACAGGAACGTGTCCAGATGGGACTTGAAAGTCTCCAGAGAAGGAGACTCCACAGTCTCTCTGGGCAGCCTGTCCCAGGGCTCTGTCATCCTCACAGGAAAGAAGTTTCTCCTCATGTTGAGGTGCTGTTTCCCCTCTCCTAGGGGTCCCCACCCCAGCAATCACCAAATGGCCTCCTAAAACTAGGTACCACCCTGTCTGCTGGCAGTTCCACAGCCCAGCAGGGGTTAAGACCAGAAATGAGTCTCAGCAGCATCCAATCTGACCAACAAAGTTGGGCCTCTTTGCCAGCTCCACAGAGCCAAGCAAATACTGTAACCCCCCCAGGGGCCGGGGGGCACGCGTGCTGTGCCACGGTGGGGAGCTGAGCACCAGACAGGAGCTGATTTTCATCCTCAGTGGGATTCAGACCCACTTGGGATGACCTTGTGTAAAATAGAAACAATCTACTTGCCATGGCTGCTGGGGGAGCAGCCTGACCCTCCTTCGGGGATTTTCTTTTTCAGATCCCTTTTTCCTGAAAGCCCAACCTTGGATAACTGCCCTGGGCACTGTCCTGGTTGCTGTGGTCACTCTTCTTTTTGTCACTGTTCATCTCCTGAAAATTAAAGGTATCCTGCTGGTGCTGTGCCTGGGGAGGGGCTGGGGGGGCTGTCCCATTCAGCTGCTTCTGGTTTTGAAGGACAGGTGGGTTTGGGAAATGCCAGGATGGTCTTGGAGCCTTGTTGTGGTGTGTGACACACGTGCAGTGGGAGCTTAAAGACCCTGGGATTTATTTTTGGAAGAGAACAGGAAGGTTGTTTCTCCACCTAGAAGTTGGCAGAAGGCAGCGGGATCAATACACCTCCAGCTCCCCTGCCCCAGGTGAGGGTGGATTCTGCCCATAGAAATGGAGCAATCATTTGTGAAGCAACCCTGGCATGTTTGGAAGGCCCGACAGGGCTTCCTTTCCTGGGGCAAGACCCCCCCCTGCGGGTAAATAACACAGAGGGATAAAGGAAACTGGAATCCTCTGTGTCTTGCCAAAAGGAGATGGGGTGGGTGGGTCGTGGTGTCACTGCAGAACCTCCAGCCTCACCAGCCCTTCTGCCTTGTAAGGGCTGTAGCTCCTGTTGGGACTTTATCAATGCTCTTTGGAAGGGATGATTTTTTTAATTATTTACATTTCTTTCTTCCGTTCACAGGAAAGCAGGAGAAAAAAATAGGTAAGCTTTGCTTTCCATTTTCCGAAAATTGAAGAATTCTCTCAAGTGGAGGAATTTGTGGGGCACATTTCTGGGGGATGTGGGAGAGGGAAATGTGTCTAATTTTGAAATGATGAAGTGATGACATTATTCAATGATGTTGTAATTTTAAGGAAAGTAATTGCAGAACCAAAGAAAGAGTGAACAGATGTTGCACCAACAGTGAACTTTGCCATCTTTTTGGGCTCTCAAGATTCTTCCCAAAGCTGGAGGAAACATCAGGGTAGCACATTTCATTTTGCAGGGTCCTCAGCTTTGTCTTGTCACTAACAAAAACATGGGGGCAGGATGGTCAGGCAGCAGGGAGGGTGAAATTTCACCCCACAAACTTTCCTTGCTGCTGCAACCCTGCCCCTTCACCTCACCCAGGCTTCCAGCAACACAGCTCTGGCCTCTGCCCAGGGTGACTTCAGGGAGGGTGGGCAAGAGCTCCAAAAGTCTTGAGAAGAAAGGTCTTGAGGAGCCTTTGGACAGAAGCTTTTCCATCATGAGCAATTTTTAGCCTCCTGCTCACCCCAAGAACTGTGTCAGTGGAAAAGGGCTTGGCTTTGTTGTTGATGTTCTCCTCTGGTTTTGCTTTTCAGTGATGCAGGAGGCAGCACTACGTAAGTCCTGCTCCCCATCTTCCCTGTGGAATCCTCTGTGGAAATGTTCAGACTTTTTTATTCATCCTCTCGTTCCATCTGAATGTTCTTTATAGGAAAATTCTTTACTTCCCCCTCCCATGACCCCTTAATAATATGAAAATTGAATCTGAAAAGTCATTAGAATTTTTCCCTGAGTGGCTGTCAATGCTTTTTAATACTCTTATTTTAATCTTAGTGAAATAGTACTGAATATTTATTGTTTGTTAGGGGAAGATTATGGAAACTTAAGCTGTTGAGAATTTTCTTATAAAAAATGTAGATTGTTTGATTACTAGGAATCTTAAAAAAACCCTACACAACCAAACTCTTGAGGAGGGCACATAGTTGTCTCTCTTTCTTCATTTACTTGCAGCTCATGGAGTTGCCAAGCAATAGTCCTTTGGCTGTTCAACATGAGCTCTTGCTAAATTGGTGCCAGTGCAGTGAGCTGACGTTTAGTTCCCCAGCAATCTGCATCCTTGGAACCAGAGAATAAATCAGTGCCCCTGCACCCCAGCCCCTCCCCCTGTGCCCATGGAAGGGACTGTGTCAGATCCTAACTCATGGCTCTCTCTGTTGTTCAGGGGATCGTGATGCAGAAATTGGTGAGTCACCTTCTCTCCCTTACAAAGGATCTTTTTACAGAGCCTATGTGGGGTGGTAGTGTGTTTTGTTTGGGTTTGTTTACTTTTAAAGTGTGAAGTGAACCAAATAGTGGTTGAGGGGTGGGGGGAATGGGAGAGGGGGAATTTGGGAATCCAAGCATTGAAGATGGTGTCTGGGGCTGGGCAGGTCAGGCAGGGGCAGAGTGCCCTGAGCACCCACTGTTGCACCATGGTTTGACAGGAGTGCTGTGTAACGGGTCCCCTTGAAGGTGAGGGACCTGCCAGGGACCTTTTCCTGCCCCAGAATTGAGCAGGACAACCTGCACCACCCCCTGCAGAGCTGGTGATAGGAGGGTGCTTTGCATGGCCAAGCCCTGGCAGGAACCCACCTACACATTATGGGAGAGGTTATATCCAAATCAATATCCCAACAAGCATTTGTGCTGATTTATCTTGTTTTTCAGAAAAGCAAGTTGGAGAACTTGGTGAGTATCATTCTTCCTACGTGGGAGACTTCTCAGTTGGGCCGTTTTCTCATCTGGGTTTTGCACGTATGCCCTGGTTTCCATTTTCCTTCTGGGAAAGGAAGAGGTAGCAAATACTGAGCTCATTTCAGAAATGTCCTTTTCCTTTGCTCTCTTTGTGTTTTTAAACTGTTCCCTGTAATCCTATATTTAGAAGAAAATGCTTTCAGTTTTCAAAGTACAAGCAAACCATAAATATAGGTCTGAATCAAGGACAGGCAGGATTGCATTTGTGGGAAATGGCTGGAGCCCTTTCACAAAGCCAGACAATGAAGCTGTGAAGTGACTTGCACAAATAGAGCCACATTTCAGACAATGTTTCACTCCCCTGGCACATTCTTAACCCGAGCTGAGACAGTACAAGTCTGCTCAGATTACCTCTCATTTGTTTTAAAATTACCTCTCTTGGTTTTTTTTAAAGCATGGAGAAGATATGCAGTGCCTATAGAAGAAGGTAATTAAAGTTTGTTCTTTTAGGGTGCTGAATCATCTCTGCTTTAATCTTCCTTCCTGGTGGTTCCCCCTCCTGCAGTGGTGCTGTTGGGACAGAGATCCTTCTGCTTACCCTCTCTTCACAGCAGGAACTGTAACACCCCAACCCCCTGTTCGTTTTCGTGCATGTCCCTATTTCAGGGAAATCTGGAGAGTCCTGGTCCTCAGTGGGCAGTGCTGGCCATGTTTTAGAGACATGGGGACTTTTTTAGCCTGAAGGTCTGCTGATACCCTCTCCCTCTCTGCTCAGTGTAATCTCTGTGCTTTGTTTTCTGTTCCTTCCCATTGGAGAATCACAGAATTGGGTTGGAAAGAAAGATCATCGAAAGATCATCCAGTCCAACCCCTGCTAGAGCAGGATCCCCTAGAGTAGATCACACAGGAAAGCATCCAGACAGGTTTGGAAAGTCTCCAGAGAAGGAGATTCCACACCCCCTCTGTGCAGCCTATCCCAGGGCTCTGCTACCCTCACAGGAAAGAAGTTTTTCCTCACAATTACATGGAACCTCCTGTGCTCCAGTTTGCACCCATTGCCCCTTGTCCTATCATTGGACATCACTGAGAAGAACCTGCCTCTGTCGTCCTCACACTTGCCCTTGATGTATTTATAAACACTGGTGAGGTGTCCCCTCAGTCTCCTCCTCTCCAAGCCTGCCAGCCATTGCTTGTGCCCTTTTTATTCTCCCCTATTCAGCCCCAGCAAAAATCTCCCCTAGGGTGAGTTGTTCCCTGAAGTGTGACTCCATCTCTCCTGCAGTGAAGGTGGTCCTGGATCCAGACACAGCCCACTGTGACCTGGTCCTGTCTGACGACTGCAAAAGCGTGAGGCGCAAGGACACGCGGCAGGACGTCCCCGACCTCCCCCAGCGCTTCAACCCCTGGCGCTGCGTCCTGGGCTGCCAGGGCTTCACCTCGGGCAGGCACTGCTGGGAGGTGGAGGCTCTGGATGGAGGAGGATGGACCGTGGGGGTCTCCAGAGAAGATGTGAAGAGGAAGGGAGAAATTGAGTTTAAACCAGAGGAGGGCATCTGGGCAGTGGGGCAGTGGGCAGGGCAATTCCAAGCTCTCACGGCCCCGAATCGCACCCTTCTCCCTGAAATCCAGACTCCCAAGCAGATCCGGGTCTCTCTGGATTATGAAGAGGGACGGGTGGCGTTTTTCAGTGTTGATGAGGAGATTCCCATCTTCACGTTTCCACTCGTGTCATTTGAAGGAGTAAGAGTCTACCCTTGGGTCTGGCTGGGTCCTGGGACATGGCTCAAAATGTGGCCCTGATGAAGTGGAGGGAGTAAGAAAAGGCGTTTTTAGGGAATCTCAGGAGTTCAGACTCTAGGAAGGATTTATGTTGAAAGGAATTTGTGGAGTTTTCTGTTGCAGCCACCTGCTCACAGCAGGGCTAACCTCAGAGCTGGTGTAGGTGTCTTTGCACCTTGTTCAGCTGAACTGTGTAGGCTCTCCAAGAGTGGAGAACTTGTTACTTCTCTGGATTCTGTCCTGGTGCTGTACCCCCTTTGAGAGGAAGAATTTGAGTTGGAAGAGGTCTTTGAAGGCCACCTAGTCCAACCCCCTGCAGTGAGCAGTTACATCTTCAGCCAGATTGGGTTGCTCAGAGCCCCATCTGGCCTGAACTTCAGTGTTTCCAGGGATGGGGCTTGTACCACCTCTTTCGCCAACCTGTGCCAGTGTCTCACCAACCTCATTAAAATATTTCTTCCTTATATCTAGTCTAAATCTCCCTTCTTTTAGTTTAAAATCATCATCCCTTGTCTTCTCACAACAGGCACAGCTAAAAAATCTGTCCCATCTTTCTTACAGTCTCCTTTTAAGTACAGAAAGGCCTCAGTAAGGTCACTTTGGAGCCTCTTCTTCCCCAGGCTGAACAACCCCAACTCTCTCAGCCTGTCCCCATAGCAGAGGTTCTCAAGTCCTCTGAGCATCTTTGTGGCTTCGTCTGGACTCACTCCAACAGGTCCAATGGTCAGTTTCCCCAGTTGCTACTCATGACTGTCACCTTTCATCCTCACTCTCTACCTGTTGGACAATACTTCAACGGAAAAAATGCTCCTGCAACAGGGATTACTTCTGAAATGTACAGAATAAAGTTACTTCCACGGGATTTGTCTGTGTGTTTTAGCACCAAATGTCTGTGTCTAATGTGTTGTCTCCACCTCTTTTTACCCTGTGTGAACTTGAAGGCACTTCTGAAAAAAGTCCATGGACTGTTTTGGAGTCCAATGGAGCTTCCACAGCTTCTCTGAGCAGCCTGTTCCACTGTCCCACCACCCTCACACCAAAGAATTTCCTCCTGATCTTTAACCTAAATCTCTCCTCTTTTAGTTTAAAACCATTACTCCTTGTCCTCTCACTACAAGGCCTTGTAAACAGTCCCTCCCCAGCTTTCCTGGAGCCCCTTCAGGCACTGGAAGGTGCTCCGAGGTCTCCCTGGAGCCTTCTCTTCTCCAGGCTGAACACCCCAACTCCCTCAGTCTGTCCTCGTGAAAGCTGCTCCAGCCCTCGGATCATTTTTGTGGGCTGGGGTTTGGAGTGAGCATGGGAGTGGACACAGAGGGGCAGGTGACCCCAGTGGCACAAGGGGATAACCCACACCAGGCAGAGTCATCCTCAGCAATAAGCAAGGGGGGGAAGTGTTTCCAAGGTTCTGTTGCTCCAGGACTGGGCATTGATCTGCTGGTGGGAGATGCTGAGTGAACATTTCTGCTTCATTTTTTTCCCCCTCTCTCTTCCCTTCACTTATTAAACTGTCTTTATCTCGACCCACAGGGGTTATTTTTTCTCACTTTTGCTTTTCCAGTTCTCTCTCCCATCTACAGAGGAAATGGGTGAGAGGCTGGTGGGTGCTTCTCTGCTGGCTGGATTTGTCGCTCCACGATCCACAGAATGGACAACCAGTAGAAAACCAGTACCTTTGCAGCACCTCCCCTTGCAGCTTTTGGGTGACCCTCCAGCCTTATAGTCCAAATGCTCCACAGTGACCTGCAGGGCAGGGAAGTGGAGACAGCTTGGCTTCAGGAACAGGCAGCAGGAGGAACTGCAAAACCGAGCTCCTTCCTCTGCCTCTATCTCCTTCCCCGGTCTGCACTGCGGCTGCTCCCACAGATGGTAAAGCTCCCTCAGCTCTCCAGAAGAGCCATTCCTGTTTTTCTTGGCAAGCCAGAAAGAAAGGATCCCTTGTCTACACCACAGACAACAAGCTAAGGTAATGTGCAGAAGCTGCTCCTCACTGGTATGCCAGCTGGGCTGTGGCCCCCAGGTTGAGGTGCCTCCAGGGTTGAAGCCCAGAGGGTGCTGAGAAAGAGCTGCCTTGGGGCAGGGGAAGGGGCAGAGGCTTGTGCAAGGGACCCTCTTCCAAGGATATAAAAAGGTGTAGCTCAGGGGGTAGCTGAGGGGGCAAAGGCTCCTCCTGGATGCAGCTGTTCTCCTTCACTGCACAGAGGCAAGTTATGGAGCTGGTCTCTGGTTGAGCCTTTTCCCAGGGGAGGGTGGTGGGGCAGCCGAGGGCTGTGCTGAGGGTCAGGAGCTGGGTTTGGTGGCTCAGGAAGCCACAGCTCCCTTCCCCCGGCTGTGCCTGCTGATAGAGACCTGGACAGGCCCTGATGGAGGGACCCAAAGTGGCCAGAGAGCCAGCACTGGAAGGTCCAATGCTGAGTCCAGAGAAGCAGTGGCCATCGGGGGCTGGACACACCATGTCTGTGCTTGGGAAGCTCTTTCACATGGTTCATGTGAACCTGAGCAAAGGGCTCGGCTGGTGTTGGGGATATTGAGGGAGCCTCTTCCAGTCCACAATGGCCTGGACTGGGCTGGGGGATGTGCAGGAACAGCAGCACCACGGAGCTGCTGCCTTTGTGGTGGGGAGGGCAGCCAGGCCACTCCAGTGTGAAGCAGATTCTGCCTCCCACAGAGGAGGGTGAGATGAGCAGGGCAGAGATAGTGGCTCCTTGCTGAACATGCTGCCCTCCAAGGACGAGATGAGGGGTGGGTGCTGGCAAGAGGTGTGGGGCTCATCTCTCAGGGAGGAGCTGCAGGGCTCTGAGGGCTCAGAGGGTCTGACAGGGCGTGTTGTCAATGCTGCTCATGCAGGATGAAAGGTGATGTGTAGGTGTGTTCCTGCCCAGCACACTCCTCTGACTCTCCCCTCCAGGCCATGCAGATCCCTGCCCTGCTCCTGCTTCTCCTCCTCCTCCTAGCTCTGCTGTCCCCGGCCAACGCTGCCCACCCTGCTCAGCCTTGCCCCTCGGAGATGAACGAGGCCAAGGACCTGCTGGAGGTGAACTGCACGGGACAGGATCTCAGCGCGGTGCCCCCGGGGCTGCCCGCAGACACGGGCATCCTGCTGCTCAGCGCCAACCGCCTGGGCTCTCTCTCCACCGCCGCCTTCCTGCCCCTCGCCCAGCTGCAGGACCTCGACCTGTCCCACAACGGGCTGGTGGCTCTGCACACCGGGCCCCTGCTGCCCTCCCTGAAGGAGCTGCTGCTCTCCCACAACGCGCTGGAGACCCTGCCCACCCTGCAGGGCCTGCCTGAGCTCACCCGCCTGGCCCTGGCCCACAACAGCCTGGCAGAGCTGCCCCCAGGGGCTTTCCATGCGGTGCCGCGGCTGCAGGACCTGGACCTGCAGGGGAACCAGCTGCGGACGCTGCCCGGGGAGGCCTTTGCAGGGCTGAGGGCACTCAAGGACTTGGACCTCTCAGACAACCTCCTGGAGGAGCTCCCCAGGGAGCTGCTGCAGGATCTGCAGAAGCTAGAGACCCTCTGGCTCTCAGGGACCTGCCTGCAGACCCTGCCCACCAGCTTCTTCCCTGAAGGGCACCTCTTTGCCTATGTCTTCCTCACCGAGAACCTCTGGCACTGCGACTGCGACCTGCGCTACCTGAGGACCTGGATCCAGCAGAACGAGGGCAGTGTCTACCAGCCAGAGCGGGGCCTGGAGATGTCAAAGGTGGAGGTTGCCCCTGAGAAGGTGCTGTGCTACAGCCCCCCTGAGCACTGGCAGAAGCCCATCATCCACTTCAAGCCCAACTGCGGCAATGTGGGGGACACAGATGAGGACGAAGACTATGATTATGATTTTGGGGAAGAAAAGATGGAGAAAGCTCCCATAACCACCTTCCTCCCCCCACATCCACCCATCCCCAAAGAGCACAGTACCGTGCCCCATACCCCGCCTCCCCTTGCTAACACAAGACCTCCTCTTAGTACCCCTTGCAGCTCCACCCTCGTCCCAAGCACTTTGCCTGCAACAGCTGCAAGCACCAGAGCTCCCAGCACTGCCACTCCTGCTCCAAACAGTCCCACCATCACAGCTTCAAAGCCCCCAGCCACTGCCACCAGTGTCACTGCTGCTCCTGCCAGCATCCCACACAGACCCACCACCCTCATTTCCACCACCTCACCGCCAACCACTATGAGTACCAGATCTCCCAGCACCAGCAGCTCTCCCCAGACCACCCTTACCACCAACACTACCAGCACCTATACCAATCTCATGGTGTCCACTGGCGCATTTTCCCCCACCTCCACAGCAGTGTCTTCTACTGGTGTGCCAGAGGCCTCTTCCAGTGTCAGGTCTTCAGATCCTTCTCTGACATCACTCACTTCAATGGTCTCCACTACCATGCTTTCCACTCCTGCCCCAACACCACTAGCTCCCCTGGAGACCACCCAACCTGCACCTCTGGCCCTCTGCCCATGTTCTACCCCAGAACTGGCCATACCTGTGCTGCGCTCGCGGGCAGGTGGGGAGGCTCCACAGTGGGGACAGTGGGTGCTGAGGCATTGCTGTCTGTTGCACTGGGTGCTCTACCTGGCCGCCTTGATTTTCCTGGTCCTGACTGTGCTGGCTCTAGCAGGCTGGCTGGTGTGGATGTGTCTGGTGGGATGGCCCTCCTGGCGCAAGTTCCTGGAGGGCCAAGAGATGCAGCATCCTCTGCTGAGGTGGAGGAAGTCGAAAGGAAGCCCTGCCATGCATCTCAGCAGCTTCCAAAGCCCTCTCCAGCGCCCCACGTTCTGTACCATCAAGGAAGTAGAGTTGTGCCCTGAGGTTACGTATTGCACGATTAAAGACCTGGGAATACAGCATAGTCCTCCTGCAAGTTCCTCCTTCTGCACAACAAAGGAGCTGTGGATCCACCACAAACATCTCAACACTTCATTCAAGTCTTTCTCCAGGAACCTGGTGGTCACTGACCTCAGCTCCCTGAGAACCCCTTCTGTGTACAGCCTGGACAGGGGTGTCAAGGCCATTGGTGATGTCAGAGTGAAATATGCTGGCAACACCTTGTAAATGCTTCTGAGTGTTCAGAGAAAGAGGTGGAGGTTTCTGCTTCATGGTTTAGTGAGGAAAGATCTGCTTGCCTGGGGGAAGCCGTCCAGCTCCTTCCCCTCATGTTACTCTCCCACACCCTGAGCTTTCTAGATCAGCACTAATTACTTTACTTGCTGGGGGGGGAGAAGGTTTCCTGGGCTGGTCAGTGACAGTTTGGGACTGACACTGCCTGTTTCCAGGGTGCTTGTGGAACATGGAGCTCACTTTGTGCCCCAGCTGCTTTTGTTCACATGATACACGTAGTGATGCACTCAACTACCAACTTGGTGCCAGGCTGTTCATCACACAATAAATACTCTCTTTGCCTGAACTTCAAATGGGTGCTGGATTCATTTCATTGGACCTCCTATAGTCCCGGCAGGGTACAGCGAAGGACAGAATTGTCTTCAGTACCTGGAAAGCTGAAGAGAGAGAAGAAAAGTCCACTTATACCCAGCTTCCTAACTTCTGTCCCAAACAGGGGATTCACACTGTGGGATTGAATCACATGGAAAAGCATCCCACTGCATGTCCCACTGTCACCTGAGAACTTCAGAAACAGTAAATGTCCATGTCTCTGCACGTGACCCCCCTGTGACCCATCATGGGGTGGCTGGAAATGGGGAGGAGGGCAAGCGGCTTCAGTGGGTGATGGATGTGACTTGTAAAGGATTGCAGTGGCACAAAATGTCCAGGGGCTGGCCAAACTTTGTGGCCACCTGTGCAGAAGTCACCCAAACATTATGGGAGGTGTGAGGAGACAGAAGTTGTCACTGGCAGGGGTCAAATAACAGGCTGCAGCACTAGACTGGATGAATCACTTTTGCAGTCCAACACTGTTCCAGTTCTAACTGTCCCAAGTGTGTCATCCATCCACTGTGGGTCAGCTGGCCTCTGCCACATTCATTAGTGGGTCCACAGAAGGGTAGGCGTCCTTGCCCTTGGCCAGCTGGGGTGTCTGCTGCTCATGCTCATGTGTGCTCATGCACCTCTGGACATGCAGGCTCTGCATATGTCAGCAAGCTGTCTGTTGGTGCTGACTCTGACCCACCACACTCTCTCCCTCTTTCCTGGGGCAACACAAACAGTCCCAGAGACCACAGATTTGAACCTCAATCCCTCTAAACAACTCTAGAGATTATTCCAACAACCCAAGAGACCTCAGATCCCCTCAGAGGATGGCCCCAGGAAGATGCCAGTGACACCATAAGCCATGACCTGCAACACACCTCCCCCACATATCCCAAGACCCTCAATGTCCTCCCCAAAGGGTCCACTGGTACCCCAATATGTCCCAGTATCCCCATTACCTCCCCCTCTGCTTGCAAGTCCTCCCTAGGATTCTCCCCCTGACTCCACACAGCAAACACCCCTGGTCACTCAGGAAAGCCAAGACCTCCCAGAACCACCTCAAAACCTCAAAGCCCCCAGGAACCCCCAGTGCTCCCTGCCTTCCTTGCCATCTGTCCCAAGCCCCTGGCACCCCCAGGACTCTTCTATTTCCTCAGGATCCCCCATGCATCCCAAGATGATTCAATCAACTCCAAGATGCACACACACCCTCCCCCATGCCCAGTGAACACCAGCACTCAGAGTCTCTGTGCCCTCCACCCACTGCTCCCCAGGGGGCCCAGGAATCCAGGCCATCCTAGTCCTGACCGCCATCCACCCAGGACACTCAGGCTGTTGGTCTCCTGCTCTCCTGCTCCAAGATGCAGCTGGTTGTCTGGGTTCCCCAGCAGAAAACAAGACCCAGATGGGCAGTTCAGAAGCCACTTTTATTTAACCCATGTGACGTGGTTGAGGAGTCCCCAGCTCCCTGTGAAGGGCTCAGGGCAGGGGAGTGCAGGGCTGCAGTGTGGGGAGTCCTTGTGTCCCACAAGGTCTCCACAGTCCAAGGTATGTACTCTGGAGGCAGCGGGGTTGCTGGAAACCACAGGAGGAACTTGTTCTGGGGGAGGGAGCTGGAGGCAGTTTCATCCCATAGAGGTGCCCATGGGTGCTACCTGGAGATCCCAGTATGGGCTGCAGAGCTTTTAGTCCCTCTAAGTCTTATTGGGGGTGTCAGGTGATCTTGAGGGGTCCTCAGGGTAGTTTGGGTCACGTAAGGCAGTGGGTAGAGTGAGGACACAGGCTTGGAGGTCAGTGTAGGGATGGGGCAAGGTGCCCCGGGTGATCCAGCGCCGAGTGCCCGGCTGGTAGGCGTGAATCAAGTGGGTGTCCCTGTAGGTCTCGTGGCTGTAGCCTCCCAGGACCAGCAGCTCCCCCCCCAGCACCGCTGCACCCCCAACTACATGGGCATGGGGCAGGGGGCTGAGGAGGACCCAGCTGTTCAGCTTGGGGCTGTAGACCTCAAAGGCCAGCTGGTCCTTGTAGCCAGTCTGCCCAACCCGCTGGCACAGCCCCCCGGCCACGTAGAGCTGCCCACCTGCCTCCTGCATGACGTGACCTGCTCGCTGGCCGTTCATGGGGGCCAAGGCTGTGGCAGGGACCCCCCGGGCATAGCGCAGCAAGGACGCCTGGCACTGACCCGCCTCATCACATCCCCCTGACACGTAGATGGCACCATCCAGGGCACATGCTGCGTGCCCACACAGAGCCATGGGCAGGGGCTGGCACCTCCTGAGCAAGGAGAGAAGGAGGGCGGGAAGGGCAGGTTAAGCAGGGGTGCCCCATGTGGTGAGTCCATGCCCAGGAGTTCCCCAGTGAGCAGAGGCTCCAGTGACTGCTCGGCTGGCAATGGTGCCCAACATGTAACGAGCCCCGGTGGGCAGCATCCGTCAACACAGAACGGATGGCTAAGGAGCAGCACCATTCAACACTCTGTAGCCTCAGAAAGACACCACTGGTCAACCCACAGTGGACTCTCTCGATGGACAGTATCAGCCAGTGCCCAATGAATGTAGTGGGAAGATGTTTAAATTATTCCTACCATACTGCTGGCCAAAAGTTTATTCACCACCCAGCTGGCAACACTGGCCAACACCCAGTGTCTCCCAAGGGACATGGTTGCTACACACCCAGTAGACCTCTCCCACAGGACACTGTGGGAACATTCTCTGTTGGAGGCTCAGTGACCCAAAGACCCCCACTGGCCAGTGCAAGAGGCTGCTAGGGCAGAGGAAAGCAGGTGTCCACGTAAAGCTGTCTCACCTCCAGGTGTCCTTGGCCAGGTCATAGCACTCCACAGTGTCTGTGCAGTAGAGCTCCCCTGAGCTGCCCCCCAGGGCATAGATGACATCCCCGAGTGCCACCGCAGCAAAGTAGCTCCGCCCGCAGGTCATGCTGGGCAGGCGCTCCCAGGAGTCCTCCATGGGCTGGTACCTGGGTTGAGCGGGAAGGGCAGCAAAAGCCCGTTACCTACCACGTCATGAGGTGAGGTTGGCACCCCTGAGGGCAACAACCCACCTACAACTGGCCATCCCCATAATGCCTTAGAGCCATATAGTCCTCTTGTATGGGAATATCCCCTCCTGCAGGTCCAGGACAGGTGCCCACCACCAGCTGCCTGGCACAAACACATCTCTGCCAGACCAGCCCCTGCCAGACACTTCCACACCACTGACTTGGGAGAAACCAAAAATTAACTGTGAGAAAAGGGCAACTCAACCAAACGGGAGAAATGAAAATTCACCATGAGCTAAAAGCAGATCAATCATTTCAGGAACAGCCCAGTTCAGGTCACACAGCCCTGAAGATCCCTTCTAAAAACCTGTGTTGTGATTTTTCTAGATTGCATTTATTTAACGTTACTTTTAGTATCTCACGTTTGATTGAGTCGCCTTTATCTAACCATGAGATAACCCAGGACAGCTGCAGAGCAAGGTGGACACCTCTGATGGCCGAGCACCATGAAGATGTGAGGTTAACCAGCTCTCACATGTTGCAGAAGGTGTGGCACACACACCTGAACTCCCCTGTGTTCACAGTGGCCTTGCAAAAATCAGGGTCGCATGAGCAGAGACACTGCTCCCCGGGGTTCTGGTCATGGAGCTGACCCAGTGCCACCTGCTGATCTGTGTACACGTGTCCTGGCAGAGTCACTGGTGTAACTGTGTCTAGTGGCCAGCTGGTGGTGGCCATGTGGCTGGCAGTACCATGGGCACCATACAATTGTCCCTTCCTGCCTCCCTCTGGGTGATACCAAACCCCTAATGCTCTGAGGCACCTCAAGGTGGGAGCCTCCCTGCCCTACCCCCCCAAATGCCCAGGTAACTCTCAGAGTGGGACCCTCAGTCCTACAGTCAACCACTCCCAGAAAGCCTTTGGGCCACCTGGTCAGCTGCAACCCCATCATGCCTTGGCTCCATGGGGCAGCTCTAGCTCCACCAGCACTTCCTCAAATCCCACAATGTCCAAGTACCAGGTGGCACCTCTAGGTCCTCTTTAGCTCTCACCTGTAGACACTGGCCAGGGTGTCATGCACCCCATAGTAGCGCTTTCCACCCAGGACATAGAGGATGTTGCCCACCACAGCTACAGCGTGGCGGAAGCGTGGGCCGTCAGGGAAGTGTCCCAGTGGCCGCCACTCCACCTGCTTCACCAGTCCCACAGCACTGAGGTAGCGGTGAGCAAACCAGAGGTGCCTGCTGGGCTTCCGGGCAGCCAGGTTGGCTGTCACTTTGTCTCCACCACAAACCACCAGCACCTCTTGCAAGGAGCGCACTCGGCATGGCAGCTGGGCCATGGGGGCCAAACTTGCTATGATGAGCTCACGGAGGATCTTTGGGTCAGCAACCCCTGCAGTCACTGATGGGACCTTCTTCAGCTCCAGGCCAGACATGAGGGCAAAGCGAACAGACGACAGGACTTCCTTGGCTAGATCTTCTTCAACATCTCCATTGGCCATGAGCCACCGGGATGCTGCTTCCAAGGTCTCCAATTCATAGAGGACATTGAGCCCATCAGAGCGGAGGAGGCGGATGAGAAGGTGTGCAGGAAGATCCAGGAAGGCTGGTGTGGCCACCACACTGGGAAAGGTGGCCAAGATGTAGTCCTCTGCTACGCGGCCCACCTGGGCCAGCCCATAAGCCACAGCAAAGGCCAGGACATCCAGGCCAGTTTCTGGGCTCAGGTCATGGGTGAAGACATCCAGGCAGAGGGAGAGGAGCCCCCAGGCCTGGTAGCGCAGGGAGGTCTCGGCTGCCTCCAGGACCACAGACCATGGTCCTGCCACAGCCCCCGTGTAGGCAAAGGAGAGGAGGAGGCGCAGCTCGGCTGGGGACAGCTTGGTGGCCAGGGGGGCTGCCGGGTCGTGGGTGGCCTCCCTCATGGGGCAAGTGAAGAGGGCCCGGAAGAAGTCGCAGGAGCAGCTCAGGGCCAGGCGCTGAACTAGGGGGAAGGACAAGAGTGGTGGGGGCAGCAGGGGGGCTCTTTGCACCATGCAGACCCCTTAGACCTCATGTCCTGGCTTCCTCAAGCCTCCCCACTCAGTCCCCAGCATCCCTGCCAGGGAACCCCACTGTCCCAGCCCCATCCCCCTCCCCAGCCCAACTGGGGACCCCAGCTCACCTGGGATCACCTCGGGGGGCCGGCTGGTGGTGGCCATGTGGCTGGCAGTACCATGGGCACCATACAATTGTCCCTTCCTGCCTCCCTCTGGGTGATACCAAACCCCTAATGCTCTGAGGCACCTCAAGGTGGGAGCCTCCCTGCCCTACCCCCCCAAATGCCCAGGTAACTCTCAGAGTGGGACCCTCAGTCCTACAGTCAACCACTCCCAGAAAGCCTTTGGGCCACCTGGTCAGCTGCAACCCCATCATGCCTTGGCTCCATGGGGCAGCTCTAGCTCCACCAGCACTTCCTCAAATCCCACAATGTCCAAGTACCAGGTGGCACCTCTAGGTCCTCTTTAGCTCTCACCTGTAGACACTGGCCAGGGTGTCATGCACCCCATAGTAGCGCTTTCCACCCAGGACATAGAGGATGTTGCCCACCACAGCTACAGCGTGGCGGAAGCGTGGGCCGTCAGGGAAGTGTCCCAGTGGCCGCCACTCCACCTGCTTCACCAGTCCCACAGCACTGAGGTAGCGGTGAGCAAACCAGAGGTGCCTGCTGGGCTTCCGGGCAGCCAGGTTGGCTGTCACTTTGTCTCCACCACAAACCACCAGCACCTCTTGCAAGGAGCGCACTCGGCATGGCAGCTGGGCCATGGGGGCCAAACTTGCTATGATGAGCTCACGGAGGATCTTTGGGTCAGCAACCCCTGCAGTCACTGATGGGACCTTCTTCAGCTCCAGGCCAGACATGAGGGCAAAGCGAACAGACGACAGGACTTCCTTGGCTAGATCTTCTTCAACATCTCCATTGGCCATGAGCCACCGGGATGCTGCTTCCAAGGTCTCCAATTCATAGAGGACATTGAGCCCATCAGAGCGGAGGAGGCGGATGAGAAGGTGTGCAGGAAGATCCAGGAAGGCTGGTGTGGCCACCACACTGGGAAAGGTGGCCAAGATGTAGTCCTCTGCTACGCGGCCCACCTGGGCCAGCCCATAAGCCACAGCAAAGGCCAGGACATCCAGGCCAGTTTCTGGGCTCAGGTCATGGGTGAAGACATCCAGGCAGAGGGAGAGGAGCCCCCAGGCCTGGTAGCGCAGGGAGGTCTCGGCTGCCTCCCGGACCACAGACCCTGGTCCCGCCACAGCCCCCGTGTAGGCAAAGGAGAGGAGGAGGCGCAGCTCGGCTGGGGACGGTGGCCGGGGGGCCTGCCGGGTCGTGGGTGGCCTCCCTCATGGGGCAAGTGAAGAGGGCCCGGAAGAAGTCGCAGGAGCAGCTCAGGGCCAGGCGCTGAACTAGGGGGAAGGACAAGAGTGGTGGGGGCAGCAGGGGGGCTCTTTGCACCATGCAGACCCCTTAGAACTCATGTCCTGGCTTCCTGCAGCCTCCCCACTCAGTCCCCAGCATCCCTGCCAGGGAACCCCACTGTCCCAGCCCCATCCCCCTCCCCAGCCCAACTGGGGACCCCAGCTCACCTGGGATCACCTCATCCCCCGCCTGGAGCTGGAGGTCGCAGCCCAGGCCACTGGTGCGGAGCTGCTCCATGGCTCTTAGTGTCTCCCACTGCTCCTCCAGGGGCTTGGGACCCCCCTCCCGGGCACAGGCAGCC